TTTATGTTAGAAATTGAATATTTATTAAACATTTTTAATAAGTATATTTAATATCACATGGAGGTTAATTATCCTTCCCGCTTTATTTATTCTGGCAGTGGATCGTATTCTGGCTGTACTTGTTCCGCACTCATCCGTTGATTCATTTTCGTGAAATCCATAACGCTACTCGAATGAGATGCAGCGTTTTCTTGAACTCTGTAAATTGGATATATTCTCAAATATATTGATTTCCTTCACGTAGCGCTCATGAAAGTTTGTCACTAACCTCTGTGACCCGAATTAAGTAGTAGCATGCTTCATTCTTGCGATGTAATGTTTCCGTATCGTAGCCATTGATGAATCAGATATGGACGAGATTTTACTCGTGCTTATCTTGCATAGTTTTGTATAATGAGTTTTCTTTTCTACTTTGCTCTACAAGAGTGTTTCCTGCGCTACCAATATGTTTTCAACGGTTGAATTTTTTACGACGGTGTGCCTAGTCTTTAGATAGGGTATTATGATTGCTGTATTGTGAGCCTTGTCTTGCTTCAAAATCGTCCACTTTCCGGTATATATGGTTGCGGTTTCTACAATTACGTTATGAAGCTACAGAAACATAGACTCACTCTTTTGTAAGCCTACGTTCTATCTTGTCTTTTAGCAGATAGGCTGATACCGTGGTCTATAGCTTTGGAATAATTTGGCCCAGTTTTAGCATCCCAAAGTATTAGTTCATTAAATCTATGATTTGCTTATTCCCTGTCTTTAAAAAGTTCTTTATCCTTTCCCATTCCGAAGTTCCACATTTTACCCCAAAAAATCCCTAATTTTTTCTGTCCCTACATTGTAGCTGACAGTTGTTCTTCGATCAAATTCTTATAGAACTATTTTCCGAACAGCTCGAATTTAACATTTCGGTTTTTAACTTCATCGCGACTTATAACTTTTAATTTTAGCGCTCTCACATGCTACAGCAACATGCTTAAAACTTCATGACAGTCTTGCTTATGAGCAAGTATGAGATTAATTCCCGCCATGTATCTTTCGGCCTCCTTCAGGCTTTTCCAGGTTTCTACCATCAAGTTTTCTATTCAGCCAAAGTTGGTTTCGTGAGAGTTTTATAGCAGTGTAACAAGCTTATCTTCTTTTCTCGCTGTACCATGTCTTTATATCTGTTGTGCTACCTGAGCTACCTTGCAGTATTGGTCATTGACTTGGAGGCATTCTGTGTGGCTCGTCCTTCGATCACCGCTCCAAATATAACGTTTTTGATAGTTATTTCCCTTCTCCATTTTGTCTGATTTTATCTCACTTTCCTGGCTTCTCACATCACAAAATCTCGCATCTTTCATGCATCTAGAAATATAGCCTTAAACTTGTTTTGACACTAAAGCAGCTTGGTTCATGAACAGAAATCACGGGAACATACCACATTATATACTAGAGTATCGCAATGACTTTATTACTTTTCTGATTCTAACTTTAATCTTTCTAAGTGTCGTTATTTGTCCTCGATCACACATTATCTCTGCACATCACTGCTACAAAATTAAAAATTTCTCCTTTACATCTATATAAGCCTTAAACTTGTCTAGCGTATTTTGCTGGAAGTACGTGTGTTTTGTCTTAACACGCTTCATTGTACGGATGATGTGCAATACTGATTATTACAATCGTTTAATTACATTTGCTATATATACAAAAAACTAAATATTTAATATTTAATTTAAATGCATAGTCAACACAAACACGACAAAGCCGAGATATTATTATATAAGAGATAAATTATAAAAATTGCTTATTGCAACCAAAATATTTAAAGGCCATATTTCATGGCATTTATATTGAAAGTTGCTGTTCTGGATCTGATTCTAACATTAATCCTTCTAATTGTCGTTATTTGTCATCGATCACACATTATCCCTGCACGCCGCCGCTACAAAATTAAAATGGGTATTCTCAAGCACCGAAGAAAGCGTAAACTACATGATCGTGCACGTCGACGTCTCAGAAGTACTTTTTATTTCCTCTCTTAAGCTTCCCTCTTGGTTTACTGTCATTTGAAAAATACGAGAAATATGATGTCATAGCACTTGTTTTTCAAAAAATAACATATATTTGTGCTGACTCACGTAAATAAGATTTTTATTAACGTATATAATAAATATTGCCATTATCAACGAATGAAAAACATGATATTTGCTAAAAATACATTGCAGAACTTAATGTGTTGCGTCGAAGACGTAAGAAAGCTCAAGAAGAAGGAGAAGCTAAACGCCAAGCAGCTCTTATAGCAGCGGCAGTTGGTGCACTTGGTGTAGCTCAACAAGGTCATCAGACATCGTTGGCTGCTCGTGCAGACAAGAAGTCAACGTCGTCATCGAGCAGTGAACTAGTCACTGCCGAAGGTGAACATGGAGGTGTATTGCACCAAACACCAAAAACTTAACCAAGTTAAGCATCAAAAAGAACATCTGGAAAAGCCTTCTAGTTGGCAGCCCTTGAACCTATCAACAATCTTGTTTGCTTCACTGTGATCTGAAAAAGATTTGCGCATTTCCTTTATTACTTTTTATTTTAGTCTTTTTGAAGATGAAAGTGTGCATATAAATACACTGTATAATATTTATAAGATGTTATATGAAAGGTTAAAAATATCAGTTATCAGTGAAAAATTGCATTTACACTGTAGAAAGAAGTCTGTTAGTTTTAGCTAATCCCTGCTCAATGCTTTTTGAATACTTGAAACTAAAAATCAACTGGAATGGAAGGCTGACCAAGGCTAGGATTAATGTGACAAGCAGGTGTCATTGAGATGTAACAGTCTAAATTACACTGAAGGGGCTCTGTCCATGAACAAACTACAACATATACTGGAGCACCACAATGATTACATTAACAAACAATTAAGGTGAAATGACAAGAGCTGTATCATCAAAACTCATACTATTAAGATCAGCAATGAGAAACTTATTACTGAAATGAAGATTAAAGCAAACAATCGACAACAAAATTATTGTCAAGAAAGTTGTTAACATAAATACTGATTGGTAAAATCAACATCAAAAAACCATTCGAGAAATTATTGTATAGATACTCAGAAACTGTTAAATGATGCTAGCTTAAAAAGCTTTATTTAAACATTTACAAACCAACAACAACTAACCCACCTTATCAGAAAAAATATTTTGGAAAATGTTCAAAATAAATGTGATATTCGAACTTGACAACACATTCCAAAAAAATATAAATTCTTAAAAAAACATGTTTTCAATTTGAGTACTTAACTTGAATACCTAAATCCATGCATGTACCTGAATACGTATATACCATGCATGTACCTGAATACGTAAATACCATGCGTGTACCTGAATACGTATATACCATGCATGTATGCATGTGCAGCAAGCATAATGTGGATACACATAATTATCTTAAATACACCTAACAATTTTGAGTTTTTTAAAGCCATAAACAAACAATTCTCTTATCACTAAATTTGTTGCTGTGAGCAGAAGTTTGATTCTTAGGCTTAAAATTTCAATTTTTGGCATACTTTTTTGAATAACGAGTGGTCGAATAA